TCCCTCCTGGAGCACAAGCATGGGGCAAAGTGGGGAGTCTGTGGATGTGCATATGAAAAAGATCTCAGGTGCTACACAACAACCTATTTTCTCTAGAAAATGGTTGTCCTTACGTAGCTTCGCACTCAGGGTATCTGCAAGCAGTGCACACTCACACCAGGACCTGGAAGAAGGAAGTCACCAAAGAGAAAACAGAGTCAGGGGCTGTTTTGCCTGTTATGTAGCATCTGTATGCTGTGACACAGATTTTGAGTGAAACACAGACAAAACTCCAGGTGAGGGCCCTCCATATGTCAAGGACAGAGACAGCAGCAATGCCACTAAAGCCAACAGAGCTCCTGCAGAGTGCACTCTCCCCGTAGTAGCCAGCTCTGCCTTGCAGTATCAAACATCCCAGCGGAGGTTGCAGTCTAACTGGAAAGATGTGCAGACACATCACCGCTTCTACTGCATGTGTCAAGGGAGAAGAGCCTTCAGAACTTCCTAAAAGGCTTTGTCCTGTGCAGAAAGAAAGACAAAGCATATCTCACATCCAGCACATCAGGGGGCTCTTCAGTGCTAGAAGAGCAAGACTCCAAAAAACCATGGGCAAATTTATCTCCTGGCCACTGCTGAATTTAATACCCAAGGGACAAACCTGTGGGTTTGTTCAAGAACTGCCTTAACAGGAAGCAGAAGAGTGAAATAAGGATTGGCTGTAAAGGGGAGAACCTAATATCAAGCCCTCAAGAAAGAGGTCTGTGTACACAACAAGACCATAGTTAGAGTTACACACCTTTTCCAGTGAGTGGTCCTTACCAGCCAGATGTGAAGGTGTGGACAGAGGCCTCCCAATCCCACTCAAGTTACTCAGACCTTGCTGTAGGGAGTTGTAACACCATGAACAGACAGAGAAGGATGCTCTGTTGAAGGTGGTCATGTCCACTACAAATTGATGGTATTTTTCTGTGAAGCAGTCAAATGGCAAAGTGAGAATACACAACCTGGAAGCCAAAACAAGCAAACAAGGCTTTACCTCAGCCAGGTGGTATATGCTCATATCCTCAACATGCGGTACACGGGGGAATGAACACAGGCCCCTCCAGGTACCCAGCGGGGCTAAAATGTCTCCAGTGCAATGGGAAGCGAGCTCTTTCACCCATCACATGTGAAAACAGCAGGAACAAAATGCCATGGCAGATGCCAGGCAGAACAGTAGGAAAGCTGACAGCAAGCAAGAGCTGACATTGAAATGAGAGAGAGATGAGTTGATCATGGAATGCAAAATACAAGCCAAACCCAGGTTGGTGGGCAGGATGAAAACTGGACTAGAAAAAATCTGACCAAAGGCTTAGCCACATTATTTGTAGTTCATAACAAGACCCAGTTTTAATTGGCAGGATACACAGCAGGAAAAAGGGCAGAAAGATTAGAGGTGATTTTCCAGCTGAAGGGGGAGACTTCCTTCCTCCAGCACAATCATTTTCTAAAGTGTGAGGAGAAGACAAACACATGCTGGCTGCAGAATTTTTCCAAATATGTGTTAACCACTGCAGTTCATAAAAATGGCCTGGACAGGGTGGTGAAATTTTTCTTTAAATTAAGAAAATGGTATGACTGGTTTCCAGAACTGACAGGAAGGCTGTCTGGCTGTTCTTGCTTACTAGCGAACCCAGGAGCCAGTAAGATGAAAAGGAGGATGCAGAGCAATCCCCTTAACCGTGCGTCTGTTCTTCTTTCCAAGAATTTCTCTGCAAGTTTCATCTGTATAAATGTTCTCACCAAACTACAGTCTAGCAGGCCCAGGAGCATCATCTCATGATGCTTCACGTAAGAAATCCAGAGGATTTTTCTGCACTGCTTTCTTAATGCTCAATCTCTTGATGATACCCTTTCTCCTTTCCTTTTCTAAGGGGCAGGAGAAGGGAAGGGAGAAGGAATGCACAGGGAAAGGGGGAAACCAAACTAAATACACACAGGACCTGCTGACTATCTCTTCTCTGCTTCTTTATTCACCTTTCATTCTGCACCCTGAAGCCCACTGATGTTCCCCCCAAGTTTCTGCTGCAAAACTCCTTGCTGTGTGCATTAGTTTAGAGGCTTGGGCAGGGGTTACTTAAATCACAGAACCATAGACTGGTTTGGGTTAGAAGAGACCTTAAAGATCATCTAGTTCCAACCCCCCTGCCACAGGCAGGGACAACTTCCATTAGACCAGGTTGCTCAAAGCCTCATCCAGCCTGGCCTTGAACACATCCAGGGATGGGACATCCACAACTTATCATTTCAAAATATATCAATGGTACTGATGAGTTGATCTCTTCTGCTTGTCCAATCTAACCCCCCCTGCTTTCAGTGTAAACCCATTAACCCTTGTCCGGTCACTACAGACCCTCATAAAAACTCCCCATCCAGCTTCCTTGTAGGACCCTTCAGGTACTGGAAAGTGCTATACAGCCTCCCCGGAGCCTCCTCTTCTCCAGGCTGAACAAGCCCAACTCTCTCAGCCTGTCCCCATAGCAGAGGTGCTCCAGCCCTCGGAGCATCTTCGTGGCCTCCTCTGGACTCGCTCCAACCAGTCCATGTCCTTATGTTGAGGGCCCCAGAGCTGGACGCAGCACTCCAGGTGGGGTCTCACAAGAGCAGAGTAGAGGGGGAGAATCCCCTCCCTCGACCTGCTGGCCACACTTCTCTGGATACAGCCCAGGATACGGTTGGCCTTCTGGGCTGCCAGCACACACTGCTGGCTCGTGTCCAGCTTTTCATCAACCAGTACCCCCAAGTCCTTCTCCTCGGAGCTGCTCTCTATCCACTCTCCACCCAGCCTGTACTTGTGCTTGGGATTGCCCCAACCCAGGTGCAGGACCTTGCACTTGGCCTTGTTGAACTTCATGAGGTTGGCAGAGGCCCACCTCTCCAAGTCACTCTGGATGGCATTTCTTCCCTCCAGCCTGTCAACTGCAACACACAGCTGGGTGTTGTCAGCCAAACAAGGAGGAACAGTGGTCGGCCAATGTGCCACCCAGATGGGATACTTGGGAGGGTGCAGTAAATTATCAGGTTCCTTAGTACTATCCATGGGTCTGCATAACTAATTAGTAGGACTTTGTATCCCTGCAGCTGGCATGAGATGGTTTCCAGAGATTGCTCTAAGTTGATCTTCTTAGGAGTTCCTCAGTTACTGAGTGCTGCAGGCTATACCATTACACCAACAACAGCCTCCATGCTGCCTCCATGAAGGTGACAAGAGACAAGACACGCTCCTGGCTCCTCTCACAGCCACAATCGAGGGAAGGTAAATTCATAGATACTTGATAAGAACATGAGAGGAAAACTGTGACAAGATGTGACTTTGAGGCAGTTAGCAGCCTGTGAGGAGGAAGGGGTATAATTGGTCCCACAGATGTAGGGAGGAGAAAGAAAACCCCTCTCTTCTGCTTCCCAGTGATGGATGCTCCCTCTGTCACAGCACGGGGCCAGCTCAAATTCTTGTTCATCTCAGAGAGCTGTGCCTACAGCAGCAGATTCCAGTAGCAGTTCTG